TCAGGAGCTAAGCCTTGATGACGTCCAAGAGTTCTTCTGGTCTGACAGCAAGGTTGTTTTGGCCTACATCGCCAATGAAAGTCGTAGATTCCATGTTTCGTTGCCAATCGAGTTCAGCTCATTCAAGACTCGACTTCAGTGGATCAGTGGAAATACGTTGAAACTAAAGCTAAACCCGGCAGATGACGCCTCCGCGGTCTCAGTCCAAATGCTCTTGTTACTTGAAGTGGCCTACGGACCTGCATTCCCTATGGCAAAAAGGAGAATGAATGGCCCTTCGATGAGAAAAGTTTTGCCAGATCCCAGCCAAGTACTGCCATGTGACCCTGAGGTCAGGAAAGTCCACCACTTTAGCTTCAATGTCGACGAAGAAGGAGCTGAAGATTACAGACCGTTTGGGAGTACTTTTTCTGATTGGTTCCGTGCCAGAAGAGCCATTGCCTTAAGTCTTCTGTATCTTCAAAGGCTACGAGAGCAAGCCTTTGCAAAAGCACAAAGGTCAACAATAAGGCCATGCCATGCAAGTGCAAGATCTTCAAGAAGCGAAGAATGTAATCATCAAGTCCTCCGTGTGCCGCGCTTTCCTGCAGGAAGCAGTCGTTGAAGTCCTGCAACATGTTAAAATCCTCGAAGACAGATTAGCTGCACCACCAGAGATAAAGTTTGGTCAAGCAATAATCCCACTCCTATATAAGCTAGTCCCTTCCCTTGACTCTCCAGGAATTCTGCACGCGTTTGGCGGCCTGCCAAATCCTCCCGTTTTGAATCAAGTTCCTGCGATCCACCTCAAGCCACGCGTGGCTTCCCTCATTTCAGATGCTTTCACGAGAAGATAAAATCAAGGCGGCATGACTTTGATAGATAAGAGCCAATGGTTACTGGATCGTGGGTGGAACAAGTGCAGTTATGACTTCATCTGGAGCTGTGTTGTCTGTAGAAAGATGGATTTCTGCAGTGGAAATGGCAGATCTGCAGAGGAACAGACCTACTAGAACCTGCTCCACTGCTTCCCGTTTGTGCAGTGGACTACTTTGGCCCCTTTCCATCCGCGAAAGAAAAGAAATGAAGTACGGAGTTCTATTCATGCTTAACTTCAAAACCATTCATTTGAAACTTTACTTCATGAAACGGATGCCTTTATAAGTACCTTCCGTCATTTTATATGCCGCAAGGCCGATTCACCAACTACGAGCGACCAGGAACGAATTTTGTTGGCGCCAAGCATGAGTTGAAAGGCTGCGCTTGCAGAACTCGACCACGAACGCATCAAAGCAGAATTACTTCAGAAGAATTGTGATTGGTTCGCCTTCGCTATGATATGTTCCATCTTCAAAGCCACATGGGTGGAGTTTGGGGCAAGATCCGTACAGTCAGAAGTGTCCTGTCCCCACTTCTTCAGAATAATGGCCTACAGCTGGACGACGAGTCGCTTAGAACGTTCATGTGCGGGTGGAGCCATCATTAATAAGCCGTCCGTTGACAGTTGATCTCTTAAGACCCAGGTTCGTTGAGCCCCTTGACGCAACCACTTACTCACTATGAAGACGAAAGTTGTTCTCTCGCCACCTGGAGTTTTTCCGGCAGCCGACAAGTTCTGCAAGAAAGCGTTGGGCGTAATCCATATTTAGACAGGTTCTGTCCACGATGGCGGAAGAATACCCGCCAGCACAACAACGTCAAAGTGGACAATGTCCCGGAAAATGTGGGTGTGGACGACATCGTTATCATTAAAGATATTCTTGCTCCCGCAGTCGTTGGCAGCTGGCGTGTTTGTGCAGTCAGCCGAAGTTCTGATGGACGCGTTCGCACCGGTGATTAGCTCTAACTGACGCCTGTCTTGATAGAAAGGAAGGAGAGTCAATGGTAAGTTCCTGGAGCGTCAGTTCAGAAGCTTGTCCTGTTGATGTCTAAAGATGACTATGAGCGAATCCCGGGTGAATCGACCGAAGACCATTGCTTTGCTGATCATTTGACAGTTTTAAAAGCATGAACATAAGATTTTTTATATTTTATTTCCCCTTATTAATTAGCCTATTTGTAGTAAAAACATTTTGGTGTTTTCAAGGAGCCATGTAAATGCGTGACTTTCAAACTTACGTGACATTTGCGTTACAGTTGGCCTTGTGCCATTTGATTCCTTCAAATGTTTTCTCTCCCTTTCATTAATCGCCTGTTCATGTTCGGCATGCATACACAAAGTTAATTTATAAAGTGTGATTTCAAACCACCGGCGTATAGGGACTGATATTTTACAGAGGATTGATTAAAGTTATGTCCTGTAATATATCCCTGGAGTTTGCATTTTTTTTTTTCTCCGGTCACGATTTTCTTGGTATTTCATCGAGCCTTGATGTTCGTTTGCCGCAACAAGCTAGATTACAATGATTTTCTTACACAATAAATTTATTCCAGATGGTAAAAGCCACCGACAAGAAAGAACAAAATTTTTTGGATGTTTTGATTACCTAACGTCCCACATTTTTGGAGGAAAATATCGGTCCTCAAGGACTAGTTCAGGTCAACTCTGTGGTCCTGGTATATCCCAGAATCCACTTAAGGCTGAAGGAAAACTGTGATGTTCAGAGATGTTCGTGATCATCATAAGCTGGATATGAGTAGATAAACTGTTGAAGTTTCATAACTGGGACAATGTTTATCAATGCGGAGATGTGAATGGAAAACTTAATCTTTTTGTACCAAGATTAGACCATGTTTGATGGTGTTTTCGGATATATCGGTACGTGGTCTAATAAAGGGACCCTCGTTCTTTTCTCCTCTAATCAAACATCTGCTGGACCAACAGCGAAAATTGATTCGGCGAGTAACATGTCAGGAAATTCTGTTTCGATTGAGATCCAAACTCTTCAAGAGAAAATCAACAAGTTGATCAGAGATAATCAAGTTTCGAGCAGTTAAAGGAATTTTGAGAAACATAGGTGCAGGATCCAAATCTTGGTGGTCAACAGTCAATTCCTGACAGGAAGGGGAAGTCTACCAACTCATAAAGTAAGCTCAATTATCTCCCCGAGCGAGATCAATAATTTTTCTGTTCCATTAACACTGATCCCTTTATAAACCCATTGACACTGTCACTATCCGGAATCAAGGAGATGCCTGTTTAACGGTCTCCAGTATTTACCAGGAGTCTACTGAAATTAAAAAGAACTGCCTCTGGTCCAGATGGAATCCCGTACTGGTTTTGGAAAAAGAGGTTTGCACGACCTCGCTCCTATTGTTCTATATTTTTCAACTGTTCTTTGGAAATCCACAGCTGCCCTGATCTTTTGAAATTGGCCGACATAGCTCCCTTGCCTAAAAGCCCAACTTTAAAATTGCCCACAGTTGCGGCCTATTTCGCTGACTAATGCAATAATGAGGTTTTGAACGTCTTTGCTACAGACAAATTATCTCAATATATGAAGAACTTCATTAGCTTCGACCAGTTGCATACCATAAAGGCACAAGTAAACAATGGCCTTAATTAAGGTATCAATGTCTTGGCTAAGAGTAAGCGAGTCGGGTTTGATTGTGTTGGGAATCTTTACTCTTTTGATTTCAGCAAAGCTTTGATTCAGTCCCTCATGATATCCTCTGCTCCAGTTGAAAACCTTGATATAAATCATACATGACCAACGAAAATTTGGATTATTAGTTTTTTACAGAACAGAACGGGGTTGTTGTTGATGCCATTGTCACGGACTATGTAAATATCAATAGAGTGTCCCTCAGGGACAGTTTAGACCTATACCAATTTTTCTATTATGGTCAATGATAATAAGGTCATTCTACCAAATCAAATTTACTTGTGAAATATGCTGATGATTTAACATTAAAATATTTCCAGTAAAATCGCTGGCTAATAACGGCGAATTTAGCAGCTGAGGAGGTCCGATCGATCGTCGCGGACATCTGCTAATCGTAGCCGCTAAACTGAAAACGTGGGAGATGTTCTTAGAGGCAAATCCAAATCCACTAAGGCCTTACCTGCTCCTCTGGTTTCTATAGGCGTAAACCATGTCCACAAGTTGTTGGTGTAACTTTTCAATCTGGCCGTAACTGGGACTTACATTTTGATATTATATATCGAAAGCCAGTAGTCGTCTGTACATCTTACGTGTTTTGTAAATTCTATGGACTGCCGCTGGATCATCTTCATCTTTTTCTTTATCAGTCTTATTCACCTATATTTACATATGCTGGCTTAGAAGTATGGGGCTGCGTATTATCCATAAGTATCTAGTCACATAGACGGGCTGTTCAAGAGAGGCTTTTAAACGGCTGCTGTAAAACTTTTCGGTGAAAATATTATCATTCTAAAAAGATGAAAGTTGTAGGCCAGATCACCAAACAGCATTTACCAGCGGCTTTAGATGACCTTTTGCCACCAGGCGAACAATGGATTACGCTACGTAAGAGCGCCATAATTATATTCTCCCGCTTATCAGAACTGAACGTTTCAAAAGGACCTTTATTAATAGATGTTTGTTCTCTTATTAGTTATTCAGTTAGTAATTTAGTTGGTTTTATTAGTTTTAATACTTACTGATTTCATATCATTAATAACTAAACGTTTGTTGTTTGGGGCTTAATAAAGACTTATTATTATTATTAATTAAACGTTTGATTAATGAGAAGCACTGAAAATCCTTTTAGTCCACATCGACCGATCGATAAAAGCATAGACACTTATGTCCTCCTTTGTGCTGCATCATCTCCTTTTGAGCTATGTTAACTTTTCGAAAAAGTTAAACCAGATAATATTCTGCTCCAGCTAAGTTTGTATGCAAACCTGAACCGGAACTGATAAAAATAAACATGCAGATTTGCTGACTGGAAGGTGTTCTGTGTTCTTTATTTGGTTAAGGAGCGCGTTACAGCGATTGCATGAAAAAGCAGAATTTTGCGTGAGTTCAGTGGTCAGGAGATCCTATGATTCGTTACATCAACAAGGTACGTTTTATCAAAGGTCCGTCGACGTGCATTTTGGCTCATTGTCTGATTTGCATACCGTGGATTTTCATCATGGTGGAATCACAACAGATGAACTGCTTAAAGGCTATGACAGGGACTTTGTAGAAATGCGTTGATGAAGGTTGCAATGTTTGATATATCATTTACCTTAAAGAGCCAGATTCAAACGAGATGTGGCCACCAGATTTTACAAAAGATTGCCTTGAAGAATACATCAGAAGGTACAAGTTTTGTAGAAACATTAGCGCGATAATGGATCCTTGTAATCTCATTGTAATTTCATTTGATCATTCTAAAGTTATCAGAGAATTTCTTGGAGCCCGCAAGTCAGTTATCATTACCTGTAGAAAACTTTTATTCCAACAAGAGAAATTTATCGCTGATATGGTCGATATCATAGTTCAAATGATAAAGTCTCTTTTTAATAATTAAAACTAATACAGGTATTGTTTCTTATTGGCACTTGAATTTATAAGTTCTAATTGAGCAGCAGAATTGTAAATATTTCTTTAACTTTTTTTCGATGCGTGACACGATACATTTTGCGCACTATTTGAGGAAATATCTCTCTGTCCAAAGGTTATAACTCTTACGAAAGCGAAAATCAAATGGACTAACCGCGCGTATGGCGTCGAAGAGTTACTATTTTTGCAAAATCGACTAATGATCATATGGCAAAAATGTATCTCACTTAAAATTACTTCTTGGCGAAAATAAAAAAAGAGGGAGGCCAAATCTTGGTGATATACTAATTTGTATTATTTAATGTATTTTTGTGACATGAAAGAGGTCACGTGTCACCAGAAATTACTGCTTTGAAATGAATAAAAATCCTTCCTTATCAATTGGCGATTCTCCAAAATCCTTTGTGAAACTACCTTTTACCTTATAAGAAAAATATCACTGTATTATTCCATTGGTTTCGTTACATCTTGCCTACTTTCGTTTACGTTTCGTTTCGTTTATGGCAAAATAGAGATAGCCTAATTATTTCTGACGTGGCGCTGAATTTATATAATCTATTCAACCTATTGTGAAATATGCCTTTACCTTTGTCAGTGCGTGACGCGAGATATTTTTCCGCACTATGAAATACTCTCTCTCAAAAGAGTTATAGCCCTTACAATCAAGCGGAAATCATATGAACTAATTGCGCAATGTACGCTTGTCTTATATTTGAAAATCATTCAGGTTGAATGCTGGCAACTGCTAACAACACGTCAGTTTTGTTATTCATAAGATCCCGAATGACTCTTCCCGTGACATAAGGTGTATTGAGCCAGTGGTTATAACAACAGCAGCTATTGCTCAAAAGACACCTAGCTTATAAGTGTCTTTTGACTGAGTTGTTGAAAATATTTTCATTTGCCCTGATCTTGCCTGTAACATCCAATGATATCTTATAAGATGAAGTTAAGGTTTTAAACAAAACAGTGGAGTTGCTAAAAAAGCAAATTCTGTGGCAGTTCCACAATCGAGACCACAATTTTATTCCTTGGCATCATATCGCCACACGATAGAATAATCTGAAATTCATTTGCATTGCATCAAACAAAAACATTGGAGACATATTAAATACCTTGCGAAATGGGCATGACCTCATCATGTTTTGCCCCTGGCAAAAATCGTGGACAAACGGCCGTTTTGGATGGGATCTGGTACAAATGATCCAGTATCTTTCTTTTCTACATTTACATTCCATAAGTTCTTTTTTTTAAAATTGAGACTTTATTCTTTAACCCTTTAACTCCCAAGATCTCATCAGTAATTCTCATACTGTCTATATAGTTCTTGTGATGTTAGTTTGAGAATTTGGTATTGGATCAATAATGATCTAACTGATATTTCTCTTTATTCTCGTGCTTGTCACTTTATATGTATGTTATGGAGAAATTCTGTCTTGGTCGCGGGGTTAAAGTTAATGTCGATTGCATCTTTGTTGTTGAAATTCTTTCTTATTATTCTCGTTCATGAAGATAATTTTTCTTTGGAATCATTTGTTTATGCTTTCCTTTTATTTCTTCATCTATTTATTTATTTTTATTTTCCTTTGTTTGCTTTGTCGTTGCTGCTTTTGGTCAAAGTTGTGAGTTCTTTAATATCAATTGTTTTGTCTTTTTAAGTGCAGTTTTGGCTTTATTTCTCTATTGCTTTCAAATTAATTGGGTGTAAGAGGAGAAAGTACCATTGACAATAAAACATTCAAAGTAAGAGTACAGTTAAAAGTGCTAAGAAGAATATTTGCAGAAGACATTGGGGTTAGGCCCATTGAAAATATAACCCCAAAATATCAATGCCATTTTATCCAGTTTTGGTGTTAGAAATCATCATTGTTATGTATTTCTTTAAATCAGTAATGGATAGCTATGAGTAAAGAAAATGCAAATCATGACCCTAAAGTAAATAATGGTGTATCAGCAGAACATTTGCTGCAGCAACTTTGAAATAAGGATCAAAGATTTTTAACTATCTAAAATTTTCTTCCTATTTTCCGACCACCAACAGGCATCAGAGGAAGGTCAGTCTATAATTTGTCAGCAGACAGACAGAGTCTGGACCAAGACCAGATAAATATTCCTTCAAGTTCTAGCAATGACCGTCTAGCATTCCATGATATCTTGTTCGGCTGAGATCCTCCACTCAGGACAGACTTTTATTACACTGTTATAATTGTGAGTATGCTTAATGCGATATACATGCCAGCTTTTAATGTGTAGTAGTGATACAACCCAGAACTTCCAAACAACCAGACGAATTAATAGGAGTTCTTCATCCTGTCATCGATCCTTGACGGGTCCTGTTGTTTAAATAATCGCTATCGTAATATATATTGCGGGATGTTTTTTCCCGACAAAGCTAGAAAATTCTTTCATTGATAATCAAATGTCAAGTGACGGCTGTGGATGGACTAGAACTGTGAGGAACAAGGAGGTAGCTTTACTAATACAAATTCCATAATTATCGAAATATGTAGCAGTTGTTTATCCATTATCCATGCTGTGGTAGGTTTTCACAGAATAAGCTATGAAATCGCCTTCTCTGGTTTTATTTTATTCGTTTTGATAGGTTCACCCTAGAATCATGTTCTTTCATGCTCTTGGTGTGTGACCATTTTTTTCTGTGGAACCAAAGTGCAAAACATCTTGAACAACAACTTTCTGGTATCCCTGGAGATCCTTTACTGTGAATGCTGTGTCCAGGCCCCACAGAATGCCAAATGCGGGTAAGATCGTCAGTTAAAACGGTGAAAACACTACACCTTAAGAAGGAAAATTTCACACCAAAATTCTGGCTACCTTAGGTTAACAGTATAATCAAGGTGCTAACAAATCATTCTGTTTCAAGAAAACAAAAGTGCTTTAGGTTACCCTTTACTTCCTGCATATTCCTGTGAATTCAATGGAATTTTGTAGTGCAATATAAAACAAAGTGGGACTATTTATAGATTAGGTTTCTGCAGTGAAATGAAAAACTAACGCCCAATGAAGGAATATTTCCAGATTCCTTACTGCAATTCATAGATTTTTTCTAATTATTAGGATCCTTATCCAAAGTGCAGCTACATTAACTTGTCCAAACAGCTGGTGCTCAATTCCTAGAAGAATGGTGAGACTTCTTATTTCTTTTGCGTATTCCATTTGAATACATTTCTTATTCTTAATATTCTATCCCTCCACCCATAGATTTAAATCCTTCAATAAACCCTTAGCTAGATCATTGAGAGCATTAAATATTTTGTCAAATCAATTTCCTCATTACAATAGTTAACGCTGTCTGTTATATAACTTTCGAGGTTTGATGAAACAGCGTGAGCATACCGCTATCAACACCTTCTCAACAGGTAATTGATGGAAAATTTTAACTTCCCCAAGTAAGAACCAGAACTATATATGCTCACAATTGGTGAATTGCTTAAGCTACCACGATCTAGCGTATCATTAAGTGACCTATAAGATTTACTCGTGGAAAATTTAATACAGTATATAAAAGTAATCAAGAGCTCGTAAGCCAATAGACAAATCTTTCTTTCAGCTTCAAAAAAACAAATTCAAATATGAAAAGACTTATGCGTTGTTCATCAATTTGTTAGTATCTTCAAAATGAATTTGATCACCGTATCTACAAATGTGGTGAAAGTGCTACAAGCTAAGATTTCATTGTCCGATTTGCTTTGGAAATTAAATCAGAAGTTAATCCAACATTTAAAATGATAAAACTTTTGAAATTTAGTTGTTTTAGAAACTACTGCCCTACCCTAAAGAGATACGCTGTAACCATGAACTGGAAACGTTGAATCGTTTAATTTTGCAAATATATTCCAACGAATATTTCTGTCCCTTTCGTTCGTGAGTTTATTCATTTTGTTTTATGTGATTCCAGGTTTCAACTCACGCTGAGACAGGTGTCCACATTAAGTATAATTTCCTGTCCCATATGCGCATATGGGCTGTCAAACAAAGGTAGTAAGAACAAAGTATTCGATGTTAAGAGTAAAATTATTTACATAGCTGTTTCAAGATAAATAGAAATAACCAAAGTATAATAATCAGCAGTCCGCTAGATGTATGCATGCAGCACATTTCTAATCCTCTGAGCTATATTGCATTAAAGCAAATGTTGCATCAAACAAATGTTCCCAAAATAAAACTGTTTAATATACATGAAACAAATTCCTCTGCTTCCTACTTTTATTTTTCTGTTTCGTGATGTTGTGTTGAAAGTTCCAGCATAAAGGCTGCCAATGGAAAATTGCCGTTATTTTGAGCTTCAAAGACTTGGAACGGAACCAACTGAAAAGTACTGCGAAAAACAGAAACTCCCCTTCTTTTGGTTTTCAAAACTTCATGTAAAAGTCCATATTTCAAATGTACACAGCTGAAATAGACATAGTCCCACTGTCCACTTTCATCTGTTTGAAAATGTAACCAAATAATTCTCTCAGTATTTGACCAGAGTCACTTAATGACTCCCTGGAACTTACATTTAATGATATGAAATCCAAGTGATGAATTAAAGACGCTATGTAATAAGAGATTCACTTATTCTTGTAGATCCAACGACAAGCAGTGGCATCTCATCTAGAATCTGCCACAAGAGTCCATCTTGACATAGTTAGTATCAAGTTGCGTGAAACGGAAGTGAAGTTAGGGTACACAGATATCAAGCTGAATAACACAGAGACTGTGTTGTCTAGGACAAAATCGGAGCTGAAGGAAGCCATGGAATTATTGCACACAACAACATTTATTTGGAAGATTGACTGTTGCAGTGAAGCACTGAAACAAGCTAAGATCGGAGAGAAAAGTGCATTATACAGTGATCCATTCCACACAAAAACTGGAACAGATAGTTATGGCTATAAGATGAAAGTGCTTATTTATCCCAATGGTAATGGAACTGGCAAGAATACTTACCTGTCTGTGTTTATCATAGTTATGAAAGGTGAATATGACGCCATATTACCATGGCCCTTTAAGAAGAAAGTGAAGTTCGAATTGATTGATCAACAGGAAGATCCTGCCCAACAGGAAAACGTTACTAAAGAGATCAGATGGAGTCATAGTCGAGCCTTTTCCAGGCCCACAGAAGAAGGAAACCCAGGGAGGGGTTTTGGACAGTTTGTAAGTCATACGAAACTTAATACAAGGCAGTACATCGTGGATGACACTCTATTTCTTCGGATTACGATTAGCTCACCAACTAATTGACTCCATCCACTTGCACCCATGAACTCTTTATACTTAAAGAAGGTTATTTCCTTAACATATAAGTAAACTTTAATTAGAGATACTTTCTTCACCCAAGAGTACCCAACAGGTGAAAAAAAGTAATTACTTAAAAAAATTAAGGCAAGAACGATTAACCGTTTTTTCGGAGAGGGCGCGAGCGCATTTCTGTGTTAAATGAAATGTTAAATTGGAATAAAGTTTGCGTAGATTTTCGCTGAAATCCTGCTCATTATTTTGACATTTTAAGGAGAAAAATTTTTCATGATATTGGGATGACACTGACCTCGTTTCCATGTGCGATAAATAAATAACGAAATAAAATACGCTGACGAAAACGTTCGACATTGATCGTTTGCCTATACCCCTGTAAATCCAATTCTGGAAAAAGAGCAACATGTCTTTGGTTTTTGCTTTTGTTGATTGCTTATCTATTTTTGTTATTATTACTGTTATTATTTTACTTTATTTAACTTTGGAATCACGCAGGCAACTGAATTCCATCCAACTGATCGTCTTTCATGCTTCAGTTTATGCATTTCAATGACTTGCAGATTACTTCTGGTCGCAAATAGATCTAATTTCCGAATCATTGGCTCTGACGAAGGGCTAACGCTCGAAACGTCAGCTTTTAAACTCTTTACGGTAGCCAATTTTCATCATCAACTCAGATGATAATTCTAAATTACCCTGTTATACTTTTTCACCGACCCAGCATCGCAGTTTCTTCATAAACTTACCCCCCTTAATTTCGGAATGAGCTGTAGTACCTGATATAGCTACCCCTGCGATCGTATTGAAATCCATAACGAAAAAATTGCTGTCAAATAAGGGAAATTGAGAAATTGAAATTTTCCTCACTGGTGGTGCACAATGTCATAGACCACCGCTAGGTAGTACATCCAGGTGGTCTATCTTGCAGAGGATCTTTGACACTTCTAAATACCTATTTTTGGCTAGAATTTGCGTTACAATAAGTGGTTTTCATAACTTAACAGTTGCTTTCATTGCCCTAAATTGTAATAAAACAAATGCTGTTAACGAAGTTAACAATCCCTATGATTGTCCGAGTGAGAAGGCGTCAGGACTGTTGTAGACAACAGTATCTGAAAAAATATATGAAATGAAAAAGGGAAAAAAAATAAAAGAAAAAAGTGTCTGACATTTCGACAAACTTGGTGAGCGTCATTTTCTAAATCAAGTCAAGAATTTTTTGTCCAGAAACATATCAATTGCAATATCTAGGAGACTGGTTTGGCAAGACTCAATTATTTTTTAACTTATACGCGATCAAATGTGATAAATCAATCACATGTCCGTAAACTTATTGTCGTTGACTGAACGGCTGATATAACACGTTTAATTTTAAAGCAGACATGCTGAGGGATGTTGCTAAACTGTGGGTCAGCAGACCGCAGAACTTCTGGAACCTCCCGTAACTGCGGAACCTCCGTAACCCATATTTTTACTTTTAGGATAAACTAAAAACATCTTCACATTCTTTGAAAGTTTGATTTTGGGTATAAAGAAGAATACTTTAAACGAAAAATATGTTTGAATTGTCCTTCACGTCCAACTTTAATTGTGGCGACATTCACACAACTAACACAAGGGTACGTAATGTCATATGGTGCAATTAGCAGTCACCTACCTTGCTGTTATTAATTGAACAAAAATTTGAAAGTTCTACGGCTTTGGGTACCGCGATAACCAAATAACGCCTCATCCGAAGGCTTTCGGTAATCTTTAGGCTCAGTTCAAACGGTCATGATAGTTGATGACAGTCGACGATAGTTTCAGCTCCATTCACTATCGTTGATTATCATGTTTCACCGGGCGAAAAATTAGATTTGACATAAGATAAATGTAGCGTGTTCGGTTCATTATAATTGATGATAGTCGACAAAATCACGAAACGAGATCGCGTAATTGTAAACAAATATGGCGCGCACCGAGGTCAGCAATTTCGATGGAATTTAAAGATTTTAGTTTAGAAGTTGCGGGTGGAAGATACTAAAGCTTATTAGGGGATGATGAGAAAGAAATACGAGCCATTTAGCGAAATTTTACGGCTATTTTAGTCATCTTGACATTTACCATTTCTGTTTGAACCCGTTTGTAGCACAGCTGGTGACAGCAAAACTATCATTCATTATCATCCGTTCGTTCAAACGGCAAAAGCTATCATCAACTACCATGTCAAATTTGAACATGTTCAAATCACATGATAGTCGATGATAGTCGATGATAGTGCATACAAAAATTTATGTTCAAACGCGCGTGATAGTTGAAAGTATCATCAACTATCGTGACCGTTTGAACGGGGCTTAATAATGGTAATGGAATGAGTGGGGTGCAATTTGTAGAGGTAATCACATGATTTCGAGTGCAATTTGGAATAAATAAGAGCGAGTAAATTATTTTAAAGACTAACGAAATTGCACGAGCCCGTAGGGCGAGTGCAATTTGTGGTCTTTGAAAAAATTAACAAGTGCTTGTTTATTCCAAATTGCACGAGAAAAATCATGTGATTACGTGTTAATAATATACAAGAAAAAATACGAGATGGCTTATCACAATTAAGCATAAGCAAAGCGCAAGCACCAAACGCAAAAATAATTTATTCAAAACGTGCGTTCGGTCAAAACAACCGCGTACGATCAAAACAATAATATGCAATGAAATCTTCACATCTTTAAGGCGCAAACAAGTTCAAAGTCCGTCCAAACAGTTCAAGGAATTGTCTGTGTCCGAATCACTTTCGATGACGTAGAATCGTCGTTTCCGAGGTTTAACCACGTTTGTTTTTAATTTCGGCATTGGATCGCTTGAACAAAGCGTTAAGCAGGGTCGGCTCGTAATTTTCGATTTCCTTGGCAATTCCCTTCTCTAAACACCACTTTTTCCAAACCGACAACTAAAAAGCAGTGCTTTTTACAGTGTTTTCATTGTTTGAGCTGTTTTTCAGCTGCGGTGGCGAAAGAAAACCTACTTAAAACGCCGGCCATTGTTTCGCTCGCAAATTTTCAAATTTTCAAATTTTGTTGCGACATCCAAGGTTCGCATTTGATTGGCTATCTGTGAGTTTCTTTGATTATTGACCAATCAGAATGTCTGATTTGTTACTTTATTTGCACTGAATTAACCCTCTTCTACACTGAATTAACTCTCTTCTGCACTGAATTACCTGGAAACTGCATTTATCTTAATCAATCAGAACTGAGTAATTTTTCCATGTATATTATTAGGGCTGAAATCATACGCGTGATTTCAAAATCAAACGAGTGCGCAGTGTGAGTTCAATTTGTAATCACAAGTATTATTTAAGACCAAAATTGCACAACACGAGGTTCAATTACCACATTATTACATCCATTTTGAAATCGCCCAAATACAGGATTTGCTCAGTTCAAATATTTTATTGATGCAATACTGTGCTGGTTTGAAATTAAATTCATCCATTTTTTTGGGGGGGAAATAAGAGTTTTGGAAACAAAAGTTGCAAAATTTGCCACATGATACTCTTTGTCTTTCATTTTCCTGCAATTTGATTGGTTACTTTAAACGAGCCTTGAAATCTAATTGGTTGTTTTGTTTCTAGTGTAGCCTCCTCGTTGGCTGGAAAAAAGATGCGAGTTAAGGCAAAAAAAATAGTGCGATTCGTGAATAAATCGCACCAATTAGAGTCAATCAGATTACAGGTCACCACAAGTGATTTCAAAATGGGTGTAATAAAGGCTGGAATTAGTTCATTGTACACGACTCTGGAATGAGGAACACGAGCGTAAATTAACATCATCGCTCATGATACTTGTAGAATTTCGGGGCGATCAGAGCGTTTGGAACGAATTGACCACGTTTTTCTTCCAGTGGATTCAATTGGTCGGCGTTACCCACAGACGTATCTTGGAGAGGGTTATGTGAGCGCAAAGCGGATTAACTATGATCGAGCTAAATTTCACTAAATCAGCTTAAAAATTTACACGATGCTAAGAAACAACCACTTAAGGGGGGAAAATTCGTTGTTATTCAGACTAGTCCAGAACTTTTTAAAGTTTAGAGCGCGACTGTTCGTTGCCATGCAAATCCTCATGATATTTCACTCATCGCGCAACGTGAACATATTTGCATATTCGCACATGCACATTGTGTGAGCTTGGGCTTCCTGTGGTTAGACGTTAAGGTAGAAAAAAAAACCTATTTCTCCTTTAGCGTTATCTTCTTTATACCCGAAAACGAAATTTCGAACAGCGTTAAGGTATTTTTAGGTTATGTTTAAATTCGTTACTATTTTTTTTAACAAAAATTAGTAGTTCCGCAGGTTCTGCTGGTTGCAGAGGTTCCACAGGTTTCACTGGCTCTGGAAGTTCCGTGGTCTGCTAATCAACAGTTTCTTAACACCTCATGCTTAAGCGAAAATGAGAATTAAAGTTGCATCAAAGAGGTTCATTGCATACTCTACCCTAACCAGATAGATTTTTTAAATGATTTATGTAGGCAAAAGGGATAGCACGGTTTTGAGAAAAGCATTTCCCAAAAATGTGGCCTAGGTTCGATTCCGAGACCTTCATTTACATGTGGGTTGAAAGAAAACACTCACAATTTCTAATTCGACCTGAATGCGCCATGACAATAAATAATAAACTATTGCTTATTTATTCATTCATGAATTGAATGATTAATTGTTGATGGAATGATGGATTGGTGGATTTTCTTTCGTCTGAAATATTTTCGTTTCATTTGTTTTGTTTTGTGTCTTAAGGCACTGATCTGAGGCACGCCCTGCATGATACACGCGCGTGTGGTCACAGTCGTTTCTATGAACAATTTGTTTTTAGATTATTAAACCTGAAGGAAGTATAATGAATATACGTGTTAATCGACACGGATCTTCATCAACGAAAACTTAACTTCCTACTGTCGACGCATCATGTCTAGAGCTAACGAGAAACGTAGAGACAGCGAACTATTGAGCGCGTGGTCGATGGACGGTACAATCTTCGTGAAGACTTCGTCAAAGTCATCGAATTGGAGGACCTCGAGAATCTGTAGCCTGCTAAGAAGTATTTTGGGAGAGGGGACGGACTTAGTCTGTCTTGATCTGTGACTTATCTCTTTATCCTACTTGCAAAAAGGTTTAGTTGCTTTACCTTGTGTTGTTGCGTATATTTGTTTGTGTGCGTTGTTTGGATTGTTTATACTTTAGTGAGTTTTTGTAAATTTTTTTTTTCGTAATTTAATTCGCTTTTCTCTTTTCTATCGAGTAATATGTATACGGGTTGTTTGTCCAAATTTGACGTTTTAACGTTCGGGGAATCAGAGATCAAATCAAGAGGAGGTGTATCTTTCACACCTAAAAGATCAAAAAGCAAACATTTATTTTTTAAAGGAACATATTTAGAACGAGCTGATGAAAATATTTGGAGAAAGAATGGGACGGCGAGCTATTTTTCTCACATGGCACTACGCATAGTAAGGGCTGTGTATTTTAATTAATCCCTTTGTACATCCAAAAGTTGATTATTCTTATGCAAATGACTCAGGCAGAATAGTGCTTATTACAGTCACTCTTAATGGACAGAAACTATCCCTGTCCAATATCTACGCACCTAATGATCACGTCAATCAACTCCAATTCATGCAAGAGCTCAACAATTGCATAATCGATAAAAGAGAGCTCACCTCACTAATTGTCGGGGGAGACCGGAATTGTACTGGATCAAAAAAAGATAAGATCGGAGGTGCACCGTGGAAACCGTCTTGTTACCGTAATCTCCTTCTGATCACGATGGAAATGTTTGACTCAGTGGATATTCAAAGAATGCGCCATCCAAAGCTAGGCAAATTCACGTACGAATCAAAATCCCTCAAACTTAAATCTAGAATTGACTTTTTCTTAATCGCAAAAAATCTCTCTAGAGATGTAAAAAATTCGGAAATTTACCATGCAATAACGCCTGACCACGACGCAATTTATATTTCGCTTTCTTGGCCCAACAAACTTCGTCGGGGACCAGGACTCTGGAAATTAAACAACACCCTATTGAATCATATGCAGTATGTGAGTACGGTTCAGGATACATACGCTCGAGCGTGCAGTTACTAGAGCCATATGACGGATAAAAGGCTCCTTTGGGAGTTAATAAAAATGGAAATCAGATCAGTGACTACTTCCTTTTTCAAAAGTAAAATGTATCAGCAACCGAGCACAGGAATTAAGACGTAGAATAGACAAACTTTATGCTATTTTCTGCGATAATTTTTCTTCCCCTTACATCACTGGAGTACTACGGGAGTATGACGGACTGAAAACAGAACTTAAATCAATTTACGAAGAAAAAGGAAAACAGACGATGTTTAGAGCAAAATGCCGCTGGATAGAAAATGGTGAACGTCCAACAAAGTTTTTTTTCAATCTTGAAAAAGTAATTACAACAAAAAAACTATTAGCGAATGTTAATTATACAAGATGATTCTATTACGCGCAACAAGACAGTGATTCCAGAGCAAAATTGAAAACTATTATAGAAACCTATATACCTCGGATTTAACCTTCTCTGAAACTGCGTATGACACATTTACTGACAGTGTTCAATCCCCTTAGCTTTCAGAGGACGTGCAAGAAACCTTGGAGGGTCCACTTACGCACGAAGAAAGCAAAAAGATACTAGAAACCTTTAAGAATAAAAAAGCACCAGGGGATGACGAATTTACCGTTGAATTTTATACCTATTTTTTTGAACTTTTAGGAAACGATTCATTAGTGAGTTTCAACAAAAGTATACAAAACTTGCCTGGCATTCTAACGTCACAAGACTTCCGAAAAGCTTTTGACTCGATTGAATGGCCCTTTATGATGAAGACGCTGGACTATTTTAATTTTGGTAATGACATAAAGCACTGGATTAAGATATTCTACACAGAAAATGCAGTACAAAACAATGGTTTTATAACCAGCTGGTTTCAACCATCAAAAGGAGTTCGACAAGGTTGCCCTCTCTCCCCTTATTTGTTTATTCTTTCTGCGGAGGTACTCTCAAAAAAGATACGTCAGGATTCCAACGTGAGAGGTATCAAAATCTTCGGTGAGGAAATCAAGCTGTCCCAATTCACTGATGATACTACTCTATTCTATTATTATATTTGGAAGAGCCATGTTAATTAAAACCTTGGGTCTCTCCCAACTTATCTATTCGGCCTCTAATCTGGATATTCCCAAGGGAATTGTGGAAATTTTAAGTACAAAATCTTTTAAATTCCTCTGGAAAAAAGAAAAAGATAAAACAAAAAGATCAGGCCTTTACCAAGATTTAGACAACGGTGGCATACGCATGACCGATTTTGATATTATGTTAAAAGCCCTAAAACTCGCCTGGATCCCGAGACTGTTGCGGATTTCGGACAATAATAATTGGTGTATTATTTCAAAACATTATTTCAGAAGTAAGGGAGGGTTAAAATTTCTACTAGGTTGCAACTACGACACGAGTTACTTTAATGATCTCGAGCTCTTCTATAAGAAGATACTAGAATTCTTCAACGAGTTAAAAACTCTTTACTTGTAAGATCAAAAGCAGGAGTTAATATTGTTTAATAACAAAGATATATTGGTTGACGGGAAACCCATCTTCCTTAATGAATGGTTTAAAAAAGGTATTCTATCGATTAACGATCTATGGAATGAAAGTGGCAATGTTTTAACATTCCACGAGTTCCGTGATAAATATTCATTTAAATCTAGTTTCTTACGGTAATATTAAGTAGTTCGCGCTATTCCTAAACGCTTGTGGTCTCTAGCCAAAGGCTCCGACGCCATCAACAAATCATTCTTTACCCGAATTGATATCTTTTCCCTCAACGACCCAAATTGATTTGTTCAAGGCTAAGTCAAAGGACTTCTAAAATCTGCTTAACGTCAAGATTTACATCGAGGATCAAACGGTCCCTAAACCCTGGAGCGAAAAACTCTCTTTAAAGAAAGACGTATGGACTAAGATCTTTAAATCACTGAAAACATTTGTAGATAAACTAAATTAAAAGAATTTCAATTTAAACTAGTCCACAGAACGATAGTAACTGAGAAAGAACTATTCAAATTTGGTATTAAGGCGGACGATGAATATGTATATTGCGGAGATAGGGATTCAATTGAGCACTCTTTTATCGAATGTATGTTTACCAGATTGTTTACCCAAAAGGTCTTGAACTGGTTCGACCAAGTGAATGCATACCAAATCTCTCCTACCACAGAGGAGACCTTGTTCGGTATTACTGCAAGCTCCCACGACACAACAATAATACGGAAATTCAACTACACTGCCTTATTTATGCGCCATTGTATTTATTCAGCCAAGTTAAATAGCCTGGCCATCTCCTTTCAGGATTTTGTCAGTAAGCTACTCATTAAATAAAATCTTAAAAAGTCTGTCTTAATTATATGTTTTATTGAGAAGTACTCCTGCCTCCTCAAAGTCAATATACCGTATAATGTATTGTAAGGAACTGTATGTTCAACAAGTAATGCAAGTAGAGTATTGTATTATTAGTGGTGTACGTAGCCCGTATTGCAAGTAATTATATTTTTTGTAAGTAACCATATTCAGTATTGCTAGCATGAGTAACCTACATTGTAAGTATCGTAAGTATTGTTCAGTAAGTAGAGTAGCGTAATGAGTCTTGCATTGTAAGTAATGTTTTGTAGAATTGTGTAATAAAAGCAAAGGTTTCAAAAAAAGGAAAAAAAAATCATGAATATACGCATTAAGCTGAACGATTTCTACGCTTAAGGCTAAAAGTTCCTTTTTAAAAGAAGAATTTAATGAAATATACAAGCTTAGCTTTCAGCAAGGAGCAATTACAAACAATTTTTCAAATCCGGTAACCTTTTGATATCTTAATTTAAATCTTCCTTGAGTGGTTTTTTGTAACTGAAAGTGAAAAAGTGGCAGTTTCCCTTGAGGTTGACAATGTGATTCATTTGTCTCAACTCTAAATGACACGGTGCAGCCAGTTTAAACGGTAACTGCCAGAGACATAAAACAAATTTTAAAAAGTTATCACAGTTTTCAATTCAGATATCAAATTCCTTCTATCTTAAAAAAAAAAAAAAAAAAAACTGTTTCACCTTTCGACAAGAGAATACAATCGTTTACTTTCTATTAGTCTATTAGGAACTCAACTCAAAGCGATTTTTCTCAGCTCAGAATGACGTTTTCTTTCCATATTTCTGAACCTTAAGAGCCAAACAAATTTAATTGATATGAATGAGAAAGACAAATTCTAATTTCTGGATCTTGTCGATAATTTTTTTGATGTTAAAAATTCACAATTTTCTTAGCTCGGGATCACATTTTAGGACGGAAAGAAAGTTTTTGTTTTTTCAAATAAGTAGAATGACAACTACAAGAGCACTTCATTCACAAGTTTAATTTAAACACGGCAAAAATTTAAATTTTGAGGCGTGATGCTGAGTATATTGGTTGAAAGGAATAGATCATAACTGCACATAAAGCACGCCTGGTAAATGGCAGTAATAAGCGTTTTCCTGTTGGGCAATAATAAGAACCGAACACCTCGCTTTCTGAAATTCCGAAAACGTTGATATTCTGCCGAGGTCCGCAGGAATAAAATGAGCATTTCAATCGATGTAAAAGATAAACAAGATCTCAATAAACTGCATTGATATCCAAAAAAGGGAGAGAAGAACAAAGCTTACCACAGTAGCACGATCCTTCCACCCAGGCAACTGACAACTGAGTCAAACCACATCAGATCCGGTGAGCACCGTAATGTTTCATCGTTTCATATGCCGTTGTTTCGTCATGTTATTCGGAGTACCGTTGTCTCTTTTGGGATATGATGATGGGATGTCTTCTCCAAGAGGTAAGATTTCTTTTACCTATACGCAAATTAAACATTTGTTTAATTACAAGCTTTTAAAGCGTCCGCAATTAAATTATGTCTTGGAGCTCAGAGAGCACTGATAGCAGCCATCGGTGTTGTAATGAAAATACACACAAGATATCATCTCCTGGACATAGCCAGTGATATGGTTCAAAATGTTGTAGCGCAGAATTTGAAGAATCATACAGTGAGTATGCAACACTGTTTTGATTGATATTTCCTGTTTCCTTGCAGGAACACTGGTTTTGAAGCAAAATTTCACATATTTTTTTTTCTGTTTTTTAATATTCTGCAATGCCATTTTATATTAAGACAACAATCTAGACCTCGTTTAATTGTAGTAAAATCCATATTTAAGAACAGACGAGCAAAGTCCCCGCACGGCAGCAAGGTTCACCTTCCCACTTTTGGGAAGTGATGATGGGAGCTTTTCTCCGAGTAAGAGTCAATTGGACTTTTCGAGAATCAAGCAATCTTCATAATACGCGCTTTCAAATCGTTTTTAATAGTCCATTTTACAGTTGTGTGCTTGGTTGCCAAGCCTTTGAACAGGAATAAGGCTAAGGGTGACCTTGTCATGATACAAACCTTGCTGTTTTTCGAATGCATATTACTTTGTCATCATGCTAACTAGTAACTGGTCTCTATCACAACAAGGTCACCTTCAGCCTCACTCCAAATCAAAGGCTTGGCAACTAAGTACACAACTGTAAAATGGCCCATTGAAATATACATCTTCAAATTTGAAAAACACAGTTAGCATTTAAGGCCTTTTTTTTTGGTTCAAAGTTTTCCTTGAAATTAAATTTTTCGAATATCCATTGTTTGTATTTTACAAAAATAAAAAAATTGGATTTGAAAAAAACAAACAAACAAACAAATCGTTTTCTGTCTCTCAGGGTTGCTATGCAAAGGAGTGTTTTGACCCTGTCATTCTGTCCATGTCTCCGCCCTCAATGTTCCGTGAAACAGTTTTCTATAAGCCCATCCGTTTTCACTTTTCACTTTTTGAAGAACGAAAAGACGCTAACCGAAGTTCCAAATAATGGTATTGTGATGTTTTTAAAAACAGTCATAATTATTCATTGGCTGGCAAATGGAAACATATAAAAAGCAAGAGGCATCAACGCAACACTGGTGATTAAACACCTTTTTAATTTTGAATTGTCCACAAACTGGTTATTTCAACTTATTTAAACGTACTTAACATTTGAAACATTTAAAGATCTATGTATAGGTAGAGTATAATGAAAATGAATGAAAAACATTATAAGGCTGATCCCAAAAAGCTCAGTAAATCAAAATTTATCAAACTGCTAAAACAGAGTGTAGAATCAACTCCCAAACCAAGCATTAAACAAATGGTGAGGGATAGTGACATAACCGCAGATGACAAACTATTTTCTACAACAAAAAGACCAATCCCGAAACCACGAGGGAGCGTTAAACAAATAGTACAGGAGTATAAAGATAACATCATCTCTCCACCATTTGAGTTTATAGATGGGTACAAACCAGTTCCAACACCAAAGAAAAAGAGAGAGATTGTAGATAGACCAGTTCCAACACCAAGAACCAAAATAGAGCAAACAGAGTCTGAAAGGACACACCAAATCATTTGAGATTCATTAAGATCCATTAAAGCAACGTGTGGACAAAAGAAAAGCTATTCAATTTAACCTCATGAAACAGTTGGATAAAATGAAAGATCTAAAATATGTTGAGACTTTGAGTGTCATATTTGAAAAGTATACTGGAGATAGTATAATTATCAAAACAGTATTCTTCAACAGCAAAACTAAAACAGTAATCAACACCAAAGATATTGATGAGGATTTGTTAATTTCAAGTCAAGAGATTCAAAATAAGATTGTTACTTGGATATCAGAAGGTTCTGGTTGGACTATAAAATCAACTGACAGTTATTATTCAAACATTTTTCAATACAACCCTCTGAAAGGATCATCGCCCAGCCAACTACCTTCTGAATTGAGGAATTCTGCTAAAGGATTGACAAACCTTTAAAATAATGACAATGAATATTTCAGATGGTGTCATGTCAGACATTTAAAGCCTCAAGAAAAACACCTCCAAAGAATAAAAAAAAACCGATAATCAGTATCCTGACAAGTTGGATTACTCAGAAATTGAATTCCAGCATCCGTAAAACAGTATAACAGAATCGGAAAACAGAACAACATTAATGTTAATGTGTTTGGGTACGAAGAAAAACAACCATTCCCAGTCTATTTATCAAAAGAATATTGCAAAGAGATTGGACAAGTCCGCTTTGCCAAATATTTCTCAAGTTTTTCTATAGATTTTCTAGATAATTTGAAGAAGATAATGGGACGCAACCACAAAAGCCACATGGGGAGTCCGTACCGGTCTGTCTTTACCTTTATTCTCATGCGACAGAAAAAGTTAGATAGGTTTATTAAACGAGCCAACTATTTGCGACCTACTATCAAATCAATGGCCGAAATATCAGAGAACTAAATCACTTTCCTCGATACTACAGCGTGTAAAGAGGAAAGATTCCATCTTGGCGATCAAAACTCATTATAAGCCCACCGAGACCCACCAATTTGCGCATTTCGCCTCATCGTAAAATATGGTTTCATTAAAGGTGAAGCAATAAGATTGCTAAAACTAACTCTTCGAAAGGAAAATTTGAAGAGGGCCTTTTGAAATTTAAACAAGGCCTCAAAGCAAGAGGGTACCCAGAAAACATTATAGAGAGGTCTCTGTCAGAGGTCAACTTCGCCTCTAGACAATCGGCTCTTTCACGTACACAAAAGCCAAAAGGTCACGAATGTTTGTTGCCTTTTGTCACAACGTATCACCCGGCAGTTAAAAATTTGAAACAAATATTGATGGAACATTGGACTCTAATACATAATCAGCCCTTACTGAAACAATTTTTATAAAACCTCCGATCATCTGCTACAAAACGGAAAAATCCCTTAAAGACATGCTTGTGAGAGCAAAAATTTAATTTAAGGGCAATAGTGCAACGCGACCACAAAAGCCACATGGGGAGCCCATGCCGGTCTGTCTACCTTTATTCACATTCAAAATTCCACAAAAACACGGAAGCCACAAAGATAATCATTTGACAACGATCTATCTTGCACAGAAATTCGAGCAATGATTTTTCTTTATCTTTTAACAGAGGGAGATCGGTTTGTGATTGACATGTGTCAATCAATAAAGTTTTGGTCAGAGAATACTATTTTGATGCAACCGATGCCAAAAATTAGAAATTGCAAAATTTTAGCCAATTTTTGGCTAGCGAAAAATTAACAAATATTTGAATTCGCTCTAATGCGAGCCAACCCTAAGGGCGGATTTCATTACATTTGTGATCTCCCGGCCGGATCACATAAGCAAGTTAATGAAAAAAACCATCCTTCTCGAGTTTTTCAGTTCGGAGGTCGCACTTGTTTTACGCCACTTGCCGACAGAGTTTTAATTTAACAAACAAGAAAAGCTCGAAATTAGGACAGTGTCGTTCCATTAATGACATTTACCGAGTGTACCAAGCCATTGGATCAAGACACGAGCGGCCCAATATCATATAAATTACCTCACGAATGACAGGTGACACAAGAAAAATCCTATGTCACAAGCAGAACTAAAAACCCACTTCACTTTACAGAGTCAGACTCACTCCCAGCGGATGACCGCGGATCGTTCGCTCGCACGCAGAAGCCATTATGTCCACAATTTTCCACTTGCTCTTCCTTACATCTCTTGCAGCCAAATTTTTTTCAGGTTAGATTGTCTTTATTCCCTCTATGATATTCTAGTTTTTTTTAGCAATTTTCGCTAAACCTGTTGAGTTATCAGCTTCAGAATTTAGAAAAGCAGACACTATAAATCAAGGCACAAGTCCTGGAGGTAAACGTGTTTCTTAGGCAAAGAAGTTAATGAATCTTTTTATGATTATTATCTTCGTCTTGCCGAGACTGGCAGGAAGAAGAAAAGGAGCTGAAAGGATAAAGGAACGAAGAGATGGCCTAAAAAATATTTTAATAAGTGGATAAAGTATGAGATGGAGACAGCACAATTGTGTTGCTTTTAAGGTTCAAATGAGCCGAAGTGATCAGTGCTCATGACAAAACTTTAACTCAAACAGCTGACCAAAATAGATGCCATGAAAAAATGTGCGAAGCAAAAAAATGACCCGAAACAAACAAAAGAATGGTTGTCTGGCCCAAATGTTACCCCCGATTCTTCAAATCCTCGCCGATAATTCGAAACCATCGATATTTCAGAATAACCCTTCTCTTTTTCAGATAATTTACAATCGCTTTTTAAAACTTTGAATTTTTAGAAACCAAACAAAACCGGTTTTAGCCACATGCACTCCTTGTAGCAAATATCAAGGTCCCGACTAAGTACTTTCAAGCCGTATTTTACAAGGGAACAAGTGACAAGTCTGCCATTAAGTCACAACAAACTTAAGGCCCGTTTTTACATAACTAAGTGTCTGAAATCGCTGTAAGCCAAAAAAGAAAGGTTCTATCGATTTGTTGTATTTGTCTGAGTTTTGTCCTAGCACATTGGTAAAACCTTTCAAAGTCTTCAAAGGGAGATGAGTTACCTGATAAAAACAAACAACGGTTTATTGGCCGTTATGCGGTTTGGCTGAATGAGCTTTAAATGATAATTTGTCAACTCGAAGTTGTATCAGTTATTGGATTTAAGCTATTTTATTTTTTTGTTACCTTTTCTGCAAATATTTCATCATCGCCTATGAAGAGGAATTTTTCTCCAACGTTATTCAAACTCAGAGTTCTAGTTTTCACAAAATTGTACCAACAAATATATATTAGGGCTGTGAAAATACATTTATCTTAGGGCGTAGGATGTTTCAGAAGAAATTTTGACCCAATTTCAAATCCAATTTTGAGAACTGACACATATATGAAGGACGTTATATTTTGAAAGGCGTCGAAGGAATGTTACTGAAAGCAGAATTGGGGAATGCGGAATGGAAAAATGAATGGGAAATTGAAATTGGGAATTATTTTTTTCACATTTATGTTAATAAGGCGGAATAGATATTTTCAGCGTTGATTATTGATATCCACGCTTTCTTTCCAAAACGTTCAGAGGTCAAATTAAAGAACAGAATGAATGATGATGAGGGCAATTTCTTTCATCACAGCTCACCTTTGAGGATCACATATTCACTTTTATATCGTAAACTAGGTTTTGGTTTGTCATCGTGGTAAATAACACTTTTCAAAGAGAATTATAATCGTTTGTCTCACGACGTGGTCGATTCGGATGTGGATTTTCTTCTTTATTTTTGAGAATTTGATGACGATTGTATCAAAGATTAGGCTCAGACTCTCGGAGTCAGAAAAGGGCATAGCTTTATAATCGAATACATTTATCAAATGTCAAATGCGGCAAGAGGCCTTACTCCACCAGGGAGGAACAAGCGGAGAGCTTTGAGAATTCACACAATTATATAAATATGTCAACTTTTGAAAGGTGTCGAAACCCGGATTTTTCTCAGGCTCCTTTTTGGCAATTTCTTTCATCACATGCAGCTCACCTGAGTGGATCATATCTTCACTTTTATATTATAACATGGGTTGTGGCTGTCATCGTGTTAAATAACAATTTCAAAAGAGAATAGTAATCGTTTGCCTCGATTCGGATGTGGAGTTTTATTCATTTGAGAATCAAAAAACGATTGCATCGGAGATTGCTGCCTTTTCTGACTCCGTTCTCGGAGACAGAAAAGGGCATAGCGTTACAATTGAACACATTTATCAAATGTCAAATGCTGCAAGAAGCCTTACTCCACCAGGGAGAGATATGCAGAGAGTTCTTGTCTCAGTTTAAGTGTTGTAATAGCAATTTGGTTAACATCCATTTTATTCTCCTCAACCCAGGAACGAAAAGTGCTGAACAAGATTGGGGCCCTTCTGACCAAGCAGCTGAACAAGGCTATTTTCTTAAAGAGGAGTTCCATTATCTGGACGTTACTCAGGTCGGAAAGTTGACGATATTCGACATGTTTCATTGCACCCTGGCGTGCCTCAGAAATAATTTGTGCCTCTCTTTAAACATGGCCACCTCTCATGGAACAGACGGAAAACTTTGGTGCGAATTGTTGTCTTCTGATAAGAACAGAAACGCTGGGAACTACCACAAAAACACGAGTTCGCATCATTTTTCCATTCTGCGGGTAAGAACACTTTAATGATTGAGGTAAAATTCTAATGCAAGGCATTTACCAGGGAAAGCATGTAAATGTACTCGCTCTCGACGAGGTTTGCCTATTCACAGCTATCGCAAGTACTGTTCAAGTGTTCACTAGTCTCAACAGTCATTTCCTCTCTTTTAGTCTCCCTGTTCTTTATCGCCGTGTCAAAACGGAGGAACCTGCATCCCGAATTTCAGCTCCAACACTTTTGATTGTCTTTGTAAAGAAAGTTTCGTCGGAGAGTTCTGCGAAAAAGGTAACTCATGAATATGTTTGAAATATCCTCTCCGTACTTTTTTAACAATAGAAAACATCCGGCTCTAACATCAGGCTCTATATTTCAGCTGTACAATCATGCAAGGAAGTGTATGAAGCAAACAAGTAAGAGGCTTTCACTACTTGCTCATTTGAACAGATCTTTTCTAAAATCCTATCTTCTGTGACACTGGAGACGCAGAGGTGGCCAGCTGGTTAAAACCACGTTGGATCTTAAGAACGAATTTCGGCGACGTATCAGTCAGGAAGTTTAATAAGTACAAATGATAAAGATTGGCATCATAAGAGAGTCAATTACTTATGTATCTACTCCTCTTGTATATTAACAGATCAAACGTGAGTAAACTGGTTACTCTTCATCTGGGCTCACAGCCAACGACAGTTCTTTGCCACATGGGAGATTTTGGATGCGGAGATGGAGGATGGACACCAGTTATGAAGATTAACGGCAACAAGGTACCATGTGGAATCGATCTTCTATCGATTAAATATCATGATCTTTCACTGGGAGGTATTCATCGACGACGTGAACGATTGGGTCGTATGATTTTTGGGGGATGAGTTGTCACTAACGGAGTATAAAGGGGAGGACCATATAAATTTGACTGCCAATGAAAGGGGGTTATTATAGCACAAAAGAGCCCAAGAGATAAATAATGACCGTTACCTAAATTGGCTCCAGTTGACTCTGCATGAATATTGATGACGAAATAATGCCACACGTCATTTCACCAAGTCATACATATTTCATGATCATTAGCTTCCCCTCATTGCCAAGTAAATCCTAGCGAAGACAAACAGCTAAATTTATGATCGTCACAATCTGTCTTAAGGATAATACGAGGAAAAAAACAAAAACCAGTAATAACTTTTTATCATATTATAAACTATTCTCCCAGAGTACCTTTCACTACGATTCTGGTTACTGGAGTAATAAAATTGAATACAACATTGCTGGAGGGGAGACTGGATTCGACTCACAAGAGACCAAGTTGCCTACTTACTGGGACACATCCTTCTCAAAGATCTGTCTCAGCATGAAGATCGGCGGACAGATCAGGTTCATTGTAATCAACATGACGGCTAACTCTCTTTACTCACTGATCGCTGACGGGAAAAACCGAAGCACCTCATTGGGTCGTGACACGTGGAAGAAGCTTATTGGCTCAGAGGCCTCGTTGCAGGTTTACTGTAACACGGAAGGGTTCAATATGATCTGTAGTGAGTCTTATAACTCCAAAGCAAGAATCGGCATCGCTTCTAACAACCAGGATGACTGCCTCTCTTGCGACTCCAGGATTGGATTTGGTACAGGAGGACTATATGATCGCTATAACACCTGTGGAAACGAGGCTACTCGTGAACCGGATAATGGAGATAAACACATTAAAGCCATGGGTTACATTTTGGTTTACTGAAACCAAAGGAAAAGCACTGAAAGTTCATTAAATTGTTAAGATTACATTCAGAACGATTCAGTAATAAACAAAAAGGTTACTGAAAAATCTTAAAAGATGAGTTTTTTTGTTCTACACATCAGTGACTCTTCAATTTACTCGAGCCTTTTTTCGGTTGTCTTGTAAGGCTGGAACGTCTTTCGCACATTTTTTGAAGGAAGAGCACTTGTCAGCAAAGATTCAAATCGTTCGCCGATACATTTGAAAATAGAACTTGACAACGGCACCGATTTCGAGGAAAAATTCGATAATGTAGATGTCTATCATGAATCTTCACCATTTGTATGTCTTGTAAAGATATCTGCATGACACGACTTCCGTCCCTATTGAATTTTCCAACAGCATATGCCACACGACATACTGCACAACAGCATATAGGTGACGAGTACTCAATCGACCTCATCACCTAAAGAAGACTAACAGTATGCAGTCGAACGTCGCCATCCACATCCGAAGTGACCACATCGTGATACAAACCATAATATTATAGTGTCTTATGATGAAAAGATTATTTACTACGATGACAAAACCCAATCTTTTTTACCATAAAGAACTTGTAGTTATGCTTTATGGTACTAATGAATGTATGCTCTGACAACCGTATACCGTGGGTCCTCTTAACAAACAAATGGTATTACTATCAAGATGATTTCATCAATCATGGGATCGACCCATTCCCCACACGGTTACAATCTGGATACGACAGGTTCTCTGATATGTTAACGAATTGATTTTCTTGTCCATGTTTTTTCCCTTTCCTTTTGTCTAAGGGACCTCTCGACCCCATTAAGACACTCATATCTAAGGTCGCTGATTATGTGATGTATTAAAAGATCTCGTCTGTAGAGAACTGACTAGAAAAAAAACAACAACACCCAATTATGCGACGTGGAATACCAATGGAATGTTTTCAGTTCACGCCCTGCCAAACGCAAAAAATGATCCGCGAATTTGAACAATGAATATACATGTTAAATCGTGGGGCTGAAAGCTCCTTGTTCAGAGATTTTGATAAAATTACGGGTTAGTTGTCAGCAGAAAGGAAGCAATTAAACACCATTTTTCATCTCCGGTTATCTCTTGATATCTTCATTAAAACCTCCTTGAATGGCCTTTTGCAACTGACATCATGAAATGAAAAAGTGACAAAGTTCCTAAAAGTTTCAAACGAGAGAAAGGTTTCGCGGTTCTAAATTATCTTTAGTGGCCAGTTTAAACGATAATTACCCGAGATATAAATTAAAGTTTAAGAAGCCTTAAGAGTTGCCAATATTGAGATCACTATACCTTGTGAAAAAAAGTCAATTGTTTCTTTCATTTAGACTTAAAAGCGAGAACTCTGAACGAAAAGTAGAATGTCTAAAATGGCTGCAGATACGGAACAACAGCTGAAGAAACACAAAGAGGAGTCTCCGATGTTGTTTTGAAGCCGACGTCGAAAGACAGGTGACCCTGAAAATTTGGACAACACTAAAAAAAATGTTTGTCTAATTTCTTTTAATGTAACGCATATTTGCTTCTTTGCAGAAGCGCCTGATTTGGAACACAAGTTCACCTTTTCATCCTAGACTTTTAAACAAAGTATTTTAGTAATAGATGAATATTAATATCTCACTGCGTCTAAAAGTGGAACGTTCGTGGTTTTCGACGACTAAGAATGCGTATATTCATGCTTGAAAGACACTTTCTGATGGTCTGTAAACTGTGAAGTGTGTGTGAGTAACTGTCTTCCCATAAATATAGATTTCCTGAGGAATTTCGAGAAATAAGAGCTCGCAGTACGTTTCTATTCAGGTGGGGCTTGTTAGGTTAGTGACACTGACTTGACTTTTTACAACACGCACTGTAATTATGCCATTTCTAGTATACATGAGATAATTACGCGCTTCTAGTTGGCTAAAAAACTAATACATTTTTCATGTAATACGAATGCAAACTTGTAACACGAGTGCAAATTATTAATAGAGCGCACTGTCAAAATTCCATCTGTTTTGACCTTCTGTGATGCTTTTACGTGTAAATTATTAATATTTAATAACATGATTTCTACTGGAATTTGGTGTACATAAGCACTTGTAAATTTTTTTACAGACCTCAAATTGCACTCGCCCTACAGGCTGATGCAATTATGTTATCTTTAAAAAATTTTACTCGTGCTAACCAACACCATATTGCACTCGAAACTTTCATAAAACTTTCTTATCAGGCCTTATTATGAAGAAGAGTTTTCCCCATGATAAATTTAAAAGTTCTGCGCTAAATTAAAAATAATATTCCCTTTCCGTGCCACAACGGTGGTAGCTGAACAGATACCACTTTTGAATGTGCCTGTAAAAAAAGGCTTGATATGTGAATATTGCGAGACAGGGAGACTCAAATCGTCCGCTGATACATTAGAAAATAAAACTTGTCAACGGCACCGATGTCAAGGAAAATCTCAGGGAAATTAATTCTTTATCTTAACTTTTTTCACAATTTTTATAGAACGTGTATTTGTGAAATTTCGTCTTTGGCAATTTTTCCCTGATCAAGACTTTTAAATGCAGCCTGCAGCACAGACGATTGAGGCTTCTGACGACCGTATAACGTGGTTGCAAAATTTTCGCCAATCTTCAAAGGACCCGACATCCTGCCTTATAGGTTTCCAAATTTTAGCAAAACAAACAATCTTGTTTTTTAACCGCTAAGCTGTAATGTTATGCAAGATATCTCTGGATCAAAATTTCTTTAGGAAAAAAATACTTTAGTCCGCTTGCATTTGGCGTGCGATGGCAGGATTTTCTTCTTTTATCTGACCCTTTTCTTTTGAGGGCAACGAATTTGAGCTCCACTTTTACTCAAATGTCTGTGTTTGTACCCTAAGGACGGTTATACTGGCAGCAATTTGGAGAACAAATAGCTTCAACGAGAAATTCTCCTCCCATCGCAAGTATGGAAGCCATCAAAAGTAACGCAAGCGTTACCCACAACGCATAAATTAAAGGTCAGGAGGAAAAAAGGATCCGTTCTTGTGTAGCAATTCGCGCGAGACTTTTTTCAATATCTTCTAGAGCAAGATGGGTTTGGGATTGACATATGGATCAATCAGTGGACTTTTGGTCAAGGGATTTCAGTTCGATGCGACCGCGGCCAAAATTTGGAAAACGCGAAATTATTGCCAATATTTGACTTGCGAAAAATTGGATAATATGCTAATTCGCTCTAATGCAATTTGTCTCTGAGACTCCAAAACCAAGGGCGATTTTATGTACATTTGTGGTCTCCCGGATCACACGAGCAAGTTAATGAAGCAATCTGTCTTAAGTTTGCAAATTAAAGGTCGCACTTATCTAACTCTGCTTGCTGACAGATTTTTTATTTAAACAAACAAAAAACCTCGAAATTAGGACAATATCGTTTAGAGACACTTACCAAGTGTACCAAGCCATTGGATCAAGACACGAGCAGCCCAACATCATATTAATTACCCCACGTATGACACTCAGGAAAATCCTTTGCCACAAACAGAACTAAAAACCCACTTCACTTTACAGTGTCAGACTCACTCCTAGCAGATGACCGCGGATCATTCGATCGCGCAGAAGCCATCATGTCCGCAATTTTCCATTTGCTCTTCCTGACATCTCTTGCAGCCAAATCTTTCTCAGGTTAGACTGTCTTTATTCCCTATATAATATTCTAGTTTTTTTAGCAATAGTGGCTAAACCTGCTGAGTTATTAGCTTCAGAATTTTTCCAAGAATACCAGACATTTTATAAATTGAGGCATAAGTCCTGGGGGTAAACTTGTTTCTTAGACAAAGAAGTTAATGATTTTTTATATTATTGTTTTCTTGCTTAAACTAACTACTAAACTAGTAGTTGAAATAAGGCCTGAAAGAAAAGCCGGCCCGCACGGGATTTAAACCCATGACCTCTGTGATACCGGTGCAGCGCTCTACCAACTGAGCTTACAAGCCAACTAGGAGCTGGTCATTCTGTAGGATCCAAATAAACCTTTAGGCCTTATTTCAAATACTAGTTCAGTAGTGTTCATAACTACGAAGATCACTTATATTCGTTTTTCTACCGCAGTGCACATACATGATTTCCATATATTTACAGTCATTATAAACTAAAGTATTTCAACAACCTTATCGAGAATTTCTATCCCTTTTTTTACTGAACTGGTATGGGCAGCTGAAGTTGCGAAAATGAAACTAAAACTTTTTTCTAATATGGCTGAAAGTTTACTCCCAATTTTTTAAATCCTCGCCGATAATTCAAAACCTACGATATTTCAGAATAACTCTTTTCCCTTTCAGTTAATTTACAGTCGCTTTCTCAAGCTCTCAACATTTAGAAACGAAACAAAACCGGTTTTAGCCACATGCACTCCTTGTAGCAATTATCATGGTTCCGACTAAGTGCTTTCAAGCCGTATTTTCCGAGGGAAACAAGCGACAAATCTGCTACTTAGTCAAAACAAACTAAAAGCCCTTTTTTCATAATCGAAGTGCCTGAAATTGCTGTAAGTCGAATAAGAAAGGTTCTGTCGATTTGTTGTATTTATCTAAGTTTTTGTCGTACCACATTTTTAAAACCTTTCAAAGTCTTCAAAGAGTTTCCTGTAAAAACAAACAATGGCTACTTACCCAATTTATTAACTTGAAGTTGTAATAATTATTGGCTTTGAGTTTTTTTGTTGTTGTTTTGTTACCTTTTTTTTAATATAGAGATGATTCGAGATATTTCATCATCGCCTTTGAAGAAGAATTTGTCTCCAACTTAATTCAAACTTAGGGTTCCAGTTTTCACAAAATTATACATACAAATATCTATTGGGGCTGTAGAAATACATTTATATTAGGAAGTAAAATGTTTCTGAAGAACTTTTGGCCCAATTTCAAATCGAGCTTTGAAAATTCACACAATTATATAAATATGTCAACATTTAAAAGGTGTCGAAACCCGAATTTTTCT